AAAGCTTCAATTGTTAAGTTCTTCCTTCAAGCATTCCTCTTTTTCTAATGGTTTGTCTAAACCATTAAACCAAAAGCTTTTCACAAGTTAAAATTGCTTAACATATGACGCTAAGTGGTTTATTGAAGCCTGCATTTTTATTCTCTTTGATTACTTGCCTCTTAGTGTATTTGAGAAAGGAAGAGAAAGGAAGAGTGAGCGAAAGAGTGAGGGGAAGAAGTACTGAATGTTCAGTGAGCAAGGGACCTTCAGGTGACTTGATTTAATTGCTTACAAAGAGCAAACTGAGGCTGGGAGCTAGTGGGCAACTTGACCACACAGAGAAGCACAAAGACTGGAACTCAAACCTCCCAACCACAGAGACCAGGGTCTTGAGGGAGAGAGGGATAAATGCATAGACCGGGTTTTGGTAGAAACTAAGAATGAGAAATCATGTACTTCTATCAGCTTCCAGTGGAGCACTCCCCAGTAGTGACTTTGAGGCCAGAGAAACTGGATCAAATCCTAGTTCTTTACCAACTAGACAAATTGTTGACCCCTCTTAGCTTGGCACAGAGAATAACCATTTTTATGATAGCTAATGTTCATTGAGCCTTTGCTATGTGCCAAGCACTGTTTTTAAGCACATCATATATATTAGCTCTTAAATTCTACCTCATAAGCCAGAGGTTTAATTCAGATGATGTCAATTAGGGCCTTAGCCCAAAGTGTTCTCAATAAATTACTTGGTCAATAATTAAAGAATATAAGTATTAAATAATTATATAATCTCTAAATAGTAATAAAATATGTGGGAAAAACTAGTTTTAATGTGGGAAAAACTAGTTTTATATTAATTATTAATATAATCAAATACACTATATTTTAAATTATGATGAATAAAATTCACATTTTAAGATTACATGGTGAATGAATACGCTCACCAAACAAAGAGGCTCTCTTCAAAACATTTCTTGAGCATGGAAAAATTTAGGTTTTGTTTTAAATCCCACTTTCTTATTCTGCCATGCCTGCTTCCTTTAAAGCAAAGAAGCACCTTAGAGAAGACACTCAGCACCCAGCAATATGGATCTGCCAAGTAGGAAATCTTTCTAGCATTTTCCACTGACTAAGGAGGTCCATAAACCTTTGCCTTTTCCTCGCTCCTAGGTTAAGGCAGAACAAGGTTTCTGTATGTATTTAGTTTTTATTTATTTTAAGAATGGATACAAAGGAGTACCCTTAAAGTAGAAGGCTTGACAGGCCACTCTTTCTGTGCTTGTTTTCTTGTGTTAGAGAAATTAAATGCAGGAGAAATCCAACAGGTAGCCAGGCAGCAATTCTCTCAGTCACGTCACGAGACAGCCTCTTTCACAGCTTTGAGATTTTCGCAGTGTGGAGTGTCAGCCTGGTGCTTTTTGGCACCTCCATCTTTGCCTCTCTGCGTTTCATAAGGAAAAGATGCCAACCCAGCCCATCGCTTTTCTGTAAAACCCAAGCGTGTTGTGTCTGAACTCTGTGCCCCTCCTAAGGCTGATCTATGACAAGAATAATTCATATACTTGTGTAAGTGACAGTTGTTGTCTTCTGTTGACATATTTTATTGCAACTGTGATACTATGAGGCCTTGAATTTAGAATATAGAAGGCTTAATTTTTCAGAACTGAGCTAAGAAGTGATTCTAGTGAGGATTTATCAAACTGCATGGTAAAGTATTATTAACTGGTATGTTCACTTCATGTCTTCATTTTAAATCTCTAATGTTCTTATGAAGCAGTGAGTAAAGGCTTTGCTTTGTTGATAGTTGTTCCAAATTCTGAAGCTCAGAGAAAAGCGAAGAACAGAGGCATAATGACATAGGTTTGGTTTAATATTAGTCAAGTAGATATAAAAGCATGCCTTCCTTTGAGAAATTAAAATACTGTTAATACTTGCCAAATGGATTAATTCAATTATTACAATTTACATCATAGAAAATATCACCTCGGCATCTCATTAATGAAAACTAACTTTAAAATGGAAGTTGATAAGAAAATGCAGTTATATTTGCAAGTATTAGATGCACATAACTTTTCAGAAACATATCCCAAATTAGATCCATTTGTATGGGTTACGAAAGGCAGCAGTTAAATGATTTCACTCACAGGCCTTGGTGTCTTCAAAACCAAACCCAAATTCAGGCTGTGAGCAACTTGGGCAGAAACTGAAACCTCTCTGGGCCTCAAGGTCTTCGCCTTCAAAATGACAATTTCTGGGAAGAGCCTTATCATTAAAATAATTCCTATCCTATAGCATTGCAATAAGGATTAAATTAAAAAGTTAAAAAATAGTATATGAACATTTTAGCACATTTCCCAGCACATTCTAAACATGCTATTAATAAACTGTGGCTATTAATACTACCAAATGCAGAATGAAAATTACACCTTAGATGAGAATGTTTGCTAAAGAAAATTTGTCTTCACACATCTGAAATGCTTTCAATCCACTCATTTCAGGTGAAGGAGTCCAGTTTTCTATTTTCCTTTGTAGTTCGCTTCAAATCATAACAATGAAACTGAATGGAAAGGAGAATCTGCTGTCTGCATGACTTACCATCTCACTGAGTAGCCCAACGATCTCGCTGAGAGTACATTGTTATCTCCATTCCCAGGCGTGGGAACTGAAACCCAAGATTTACTGCAGCTGCCCAAGTTCATCCTGCTACTGATGACCAAGTTAGGTTCTCAACCCAATTAGGTCACTAATGCCCATTCTCTTACACTCTATTCTACAGTGGAAATAAGAGTGAGTGGTGGTGGGGAGGTGGACTTAGAGCTTATTTCTACTTTACATAAAGTTAATCTAAGTCAATGGTTCCCAATTTTCTTGAGATCAAAATCTCTTCACACTCTATCAGAGACCTCATAAAGCTTTTGTTTGTAGGGGGCATGTTTATTGATATTTCTGTATTATGTATTATAAATGAAAGCTAAGAAATTATTTATGTTTCCTTATTCACTTATTTAATCATTAAGAATGAAAATTTTAAATGATGATAATTTATAATTTTTAAACTTGTTATAAAGAAATAAACACATTACATGTTAGCATACATATTTTTATGTTTTCTAAAACAAACCACATTTGGTGAGAAGAGTGACTTCATTTTACATATTTAGCAAATCTCATAAATGTCTGACTTACAGGTGACAGCTGGACTCTCCTGTTTACTGCTGCGTTCATTCTGTTGTACTAACTCCACTGAGTGCTCATGAGACCACAAAAGTGAAAAGGGCCAATGTCTTACTATTATTATAAAAATTGTTTGGTCACTGGATACCTTGAAAGATCTCAGGAACTCCTAGGGGTTCCAGCCCACACTTTAAGACCCACACACAGTTGGGTAAAATCTGTAAGAAAACTAAGAAGTCTGTCACCAACTTTAGTCTGCAATAATAACCCAATTTCATCACCCAACTACCTACTCATCCACTAAGTGTCTCTTTGTACTCTTCTAGAAAAGAATGATGAAAAAAAATTTTTTTTAGCTCTAGGAAATACTAAACATTGAGTGGGAAAAGATTAAAAGTAATAATATCACTCAGCTAAAACAAAATATAGAACAATGTGTCAGAAATAAATTCGGTTAATTCACTCTTCAGAGACAAAAATTAATGTACTTTTATCTTTACAGAATAAAAAGACAAGCCTTTGTTGTACAATTGAATATAACTGAAGTGTCATTCTATTTTTGTGGTGTTAACCAAAATGATTCAGTGAAGGCACTAGTCAAATATTAGCAGACATGCCCCCTACTAGAGTAAAAGATGTGAGGAGAACATTGGAAATCTTATATAAAATGAGAAAAATTTAATAAAATATTTGGGTAGTGTTAAGAAACAGTATAAGTTCAATCATTTGGTTATTTATGAGATTGTTCTTTAAAATGTTTTACCTAAGAAATATGGTTTTTTTCTTTCTTGCTTTAATTCAAACCCAGAAACAAGGCATTTGTAAATAATATTTGGTTTTCTTAAATCATGTATTCAAGTTTGCATTGCTTTACCGTACTGTTTCTGGATGGAAAAAAAAAAAGATTATTGTAATGCACTTTATTTATTTCAAATAATTTTGAAACTTAACATAGTACCATAGCTATTCTAGAGGAATCGTACCCTATTTCACAGATATATTAGCAAAGCTGAAGAACTGAATAACTATTATTTCAGTGGCAAGATTGCACCAAAAGAAAAAACTACATATTTGGTACAATGAATAATATTCATAGAGTGTGAAAGAGCATTAACACTAAAATGAAATTTGATGTCCATGGCCAATTGAACCATTCCCCTAAAACAGCATTTGGCTGCAAATTATGCAAAAGTAGCCCGTGCATTGAAGTTCCCAGATGTTGGATCTGAAACATCCCTATTAACATGGATGTGTTCCTCTAACGTCGATTCCTGGTTGAATATTTCACACAGTCTAGAGGTGCTATTAACCTACAAGTTTGTTTTTTAGTATCCGGGAGCTCTGAGGAACAGAAAACATCTCGTTTCCTCAGAAGAGAGCCCCTTGTGTAATACAGCACTGAGAAGATTTCCTCCGTTCCCTCAGGTTCTTCGCAGTAATAGCCTGCTCGAGTCCACAGACTACTGGTTGCAGAATCAGAGGACACCCTGCCAGATTGGTTTTGTGGAGGACAAATCCGAAAACCCAATTTGCGCTTCCGTAAGTAAAACCCAACTCGGGTGTCGTCTGCGAAAGCAGGGAATCTGCCCGTGCGGTAGTACCATGGACAGCAGTTTCCTAAATGGTTAAGTACAAGGTCCGGAAAGTCTCCTTTTGAAAATACATAACTGGTTTATAAAGACTGTTAACAAAATAACATGCAGCGCTCATGTTTCTACTCTAATTTTGCTCATTTCGACAGGTTAATTAATCTGCTCAATTCTCTAAAAAAGGAAAAATCCAGGCTTATGTTTTCAAAACTGACTGAGAAAAAGGTTCAGAAACAGAATTGTAAGATATTTAAAAAAACCACTCAAAGGCTCTCTAGGATTCTTTTCGATATATTTTATAACTTCTGCTAGTAAGTATTTCCCATCATGAAAACTGTGTAGAATTTCTCTACTGTTTTTGTAACTTATGGTCACTGGAAATGTTTTCAACTTAAGAGATATACAGGCATGCATTTTAATAAACTGGAGTTAAGCTTTACATACAAAACCTTCCTTTTTAAGAGAAAGATGTTCTTACAGATAAATATAATTCTTATGGCTTAGAATGTGAGTACATATAGCTGATGCGAAATTGCTCCTTCCTACATGTTCTGCAAAACTATATGTTTCATTTGAATCGAAATCACCTAGCTCTTATGGGGTCATGGTGACAGAGTTTCCAAGTAATATTTTCAAAGAAGAGAGAAATGTAATTCTCATGACTAAACTGAGAGCATTAGCTTTGAGCTATTCCTGGAGGTAAGTTGCATGCCAGCATTTCTGTTAAAAGCCAAAAAAAAAAAAAAAATGAAAATGGGATGGAGAAGCTTTTTATATATAATGAGCAGAACCAGAAGAACTGGCAGACAGACAGAGGAAAAACATTTCACACTGAAGAGTCTCATAGTGCAAGGAAAGCAGAGTCCATTAGACAGACTTAATTAAATCTCTTTGTTTAAGTAAATGATTTTGATTCTGCTACTGTTAGGACTTTTGATCCCTTGTCCAGAAAACTAGTTGATGGATAAAAAATCTTTAGGGAAAACAAAAAGGATTAGGTGGCAAGTAATTTAATAGTGATAGCTTCTTGCAAATTCAATTCTGAGATGAGTTGGAAAATTTAGGCGTTTGCTGATACTGGTCTCTAATTACACCGTTAAAAATTATAAAAAGAGAGAAATAGAAAGTAAAAGCTATCAGCAGCTACACGTTGGTCAAAGTTGTCATCCAAACAGCTCCTGTATTAAGTCTCCCATTTGAAAAAGGCCCAAAGGTTGAGGCACTAAAAATTTTGTAGTGAAGGGTAAAGAGGACTTCTCTAAACTTTATATTTTTGGAATCTGGATTATAGATCTACTATAAGAAATGCTAAATTTATTGCCAAATTTAAGATTACCATTGGATCTCCCTAGGTGTAAGAGAATTCTTCTATCTCCCACCAATCCCAGTGGACTCAAATTTGGACTTAAAACTCTCTGACTTCCTTTGTTTCTGTTTAGTGTCCAATGATGACAGTGAGCTTGAGCTGATTCATCCTGTCTTTCTGGCTCTTTCTATTCTTTCCAAAAGTGGAGAAAATCTAAACACAAATAAAAGGCATACCTAAAGATTTGTTTTCTCACAATAGTTTGCGATAATTGAAGCTGACACACACACAAAAAAATTGCCCATGACTCTGAACCTAGATTTCAGGATCCCTAGGAAAAACTAGCCCTAGTCTCTCAAAAAGTATCCTGTAGTCACTGTTTCTTAATTTACAAGTCCTTTCTCTCTTTCTGACTTGGCACAGATTTCTAGGACGGGGAGAAGACACAGAGTCCAGAGGTGGACATTGCCAAGGGGCAGTTATTATCTAGAGGTAAAATAGAGGTGAGCAAGAGAGATGACTGACCAGGACAGGGAGTTCTTGATCAAAACAGCCCCACGGCAGTAGCAAAAATGGTCAAGGAAAAAGTATCTTATTCTTTTTCGAAAGAAATTCTCTACAGCAGCATGAAAAATGAAAGTGTAACTTAAAGAAGAAAAAAAAACCTGTATTATAAAATAATATCATCATTAAAGTTTAATTTTTAAAAATTAGCTTAATAACAACATCCCAAATCTATTTATAAATAATCACAGCAGATTCTGAGGAACGTGTAGCAGAGTTGTCCCATATTTTCTTGCACTGTACTCTGTTCATCACTCTAGGGGACTCTATTCTATGTGAATCACTGCTACTTGAACTCGTTTCTTCCTGAACAAAATTTGCAGCCAGCTTTTTCATATCTAATTTTGATTGGCTTGGCATCCATTACACTAAACACCAAATTTCTGGATTTGCTGTTGCTTAAAAGAGAACACCTCAGTGTTCCAATGTCCACTTAACAACGTTATCGAAGGGCAATTTCAGACTTGGAAAACCTTCGGGGCGTTGTGTGCATGAATCGGTGTGGATGTCTGTTCCCAAGCATCAAACGATGAGCTTTAGTCATTTCGATAGGGCACCGCATTCATTTCACACCTGCAATGAGGGGTCTTAGTGAAGAGCAGTTTGAGACTGTCAGAAACATGATGGGCACCCCCAAACAGGAGCTGAGAGCCAGGACATCTGGCTCAGAAGGCCCCTGAAAGTCACCCAACCAACGTTTTCAAAAGGTATCACATGCGAAAATGATGTTTATGTTTTTCCAAATAGCATTCTTCTAGCAAACTAGATGATTTTATTTTTCCTTCAAAAATCAAGTTTGGAAACTAGTTATTAATTCTTTAATTTTAGACTCGTAGAAAAATTGCAAGAAGAGAGCAAAAGATTCCCAGATTTCCCGAATGCTAACATTATACTATATTTACTCTATCCTTTTCTTTGCATATGGTTACGTATCTGCGGGTAAATACACACTTATGATTTTTTTTTTCTAAACCATTTGAGAATGAGTTGCAGACATAATGCTCCTTCATTCCTACATACTTCAATGTGGAACAAGAATATTTAAAACCAAGATTGAACCCAGAGCTGCAGAAACTCTTGTCCAGGCTACTAACTCAGCACGCCTGGCATAATGATATTTTTAAAATACGTATTCGACAATTTCAGGAAGAAGCTAAATACTGCCTGCATAAAAATAAAAACTCAAAACCTGTTGGCAGAAGTCAGTCAGACTGAGCAACACAAAAAGCCCTGTATTTAAGCCCACTCTCTCCTCAGCACACAGTTTAAGTGAGGAGGAAGCGAGAGGGAGCTCTCAGCTCCCACCCCGGTAGATTATTTCTGCCAGCTTCATCCAAATTTGTTCAAGAGAGAAATTCCTGTAAGTTCCATTTCTTCCATCTTGTATATTTCTAGGGGGTTTGAATATCCCCCGCCTTAGACCAGTCCAGAAGCGAACTATTTTGGAAGCTCGCTTCCTAACCCGGCCTTACATAAAATAGATAAGGCAAGGACTCTCTGGGTACGCAGGAGAGTAGAGCACCCACAGCCTGGTCTGTGTGACCTCCCCTTGCCCCAGGCAGCAGCTCCTGAGGCACCTTGAGAAATCCAAGAGTCCTGGTCAAAACTTAGACTTTCAATCAAAGTTCCACTCAACCTTTCCAAACTTCTAGAAGCCAATAAGTTAGAAAGAACACTCTCCTGAGATTTCAGGAGAGTGTTTTTCCACCAAGGAATGGTGGAAAAAAGAGTCACTCACCAAAGCAAGTAGGTGGCTCTACCTCCATGAAAGCCAGATGTAAGAAGACACAGAAACCTAGAAAAGTGATGAATAAAACTGAGACTGAGCTTTTGATAAATAACTCGAGGGCTAAACCTAAACAGTGTGGCCAAAAAATAATAGGCCTTCAACCTAGTCCATACGTTTGTTAATATCTCGAATTCCTGAAACAGTTACAGAGAAAATTTTTATGAGTTGATTTAGATTGAAAATTGAGTCCATATTCAATTTCATATGCTGTAGATAAAATGCTACATAATAAAAATTAAGGCCATTGACTTTTTTTAAGAGGCTCAAGAAAATACAATGTATCTCTAAGCATTACATAACTGAAATAAGACTTCTAATAATTCATAATATGAAGCATTAAGAGGAAAATATAGATGATTATTTATATGACTATTTAAGTATGATGCAATTGCAGAAACCAGTTTTAAAATGTTTACACTTGAGTAAACATCAGAAACAAAATGAAAAGCCAGATAACAACTGTGTTAAAAATATATGTGTAGGCAATATATCTGACAAACTCAGGGTGTCGATCTCAATTCAGAAAGAGCTGCCACAATTCAATATGAAAAGAAATGAAAATTCCAGTAGCAAAGCTGGCAAAGCCAAAGGAAGAAATTCACAAAATAAAAAATGCAATTGCTGATATATACATGGAAAAAAATCGACCTCTATCAAAAAGATGCAACTATTACTATTAAATAATTTGTTTCTAATACACTGCTCAAGATTTTTTAAAATTGTTTTACTCATTGTTGATATAAACACAGGAGGACACTCAGCGATTGCCATTGGGAATGTAAAGTGATACAATTAATATAATCTTTCTGGAGGAAAATTTTGTAATATGTACTATCTAAAACATTTTAAATGGTCATGACTGTGTATCCACTTCTGGAAGTATATTCTAAAGAAATGGCCAGAGTTATATGCAGACTAGTGTAAAATCCGGTTGCTGCGCAGAGCCAGGTTACCTAAGGCAACAAACAGATGGGTTTAGAACATAGATTCTGCAATCAGGCTGCTATGGTTGAAATTCCAGCACTTCTTTCTCACTTTGAAATCCTGAGCAAACTATTCAGTCTCTCTGTCCCTCAGGTTCCTCATTCGCAAAATAGAGATGATAATAGTATTTACCTCATGGATTGTAAGGATTAAATGCATTAATATTTCTAAAGTATTAGAATAGTGGCTGTACCTTATAAGCACTATGTAAGTATTCAATAAAAGTAACAGCAAATTGTAGAAAAATATTGCATAAATGGTTAAATAAATGCTGGGCATCTATACCATAAAGTTTATGCATCCTTTA